TGACAATCTATCCATTTCTTGATGTATAGGGGAAGGCGGCGCCGCCTCCCCCCCTGCCTCTCCCTTCTGAACAGCCTGTAGCCTTCGATAGCTGCACTCCAGTCATGGGATTCGTCCCACCAAGTTTCAGTGATGGCAACTAGGTCATAACTTTCTAGCAGCACGGTAGCTTCCAGGTCCTCCTGTTTGTTGCCCATGCTGCGTGCATTAGTGTAGAGTATATAACTTATAGAAGTAGAGTATATAACTTATATTAAGTTATATAAATATAATTTTCCTTTCTCTGCATTTGCAATGAATCTTCATGAGTCCTCTAACACAGGACAGAATCAAAAGTCAAAAGCGGTAAAGTTACATTGCAGATTTCTTGACCTTTAAAGGACAGGGGATAGTATCTGGCATTAAACAGACTACCTGCAAGGAAGGTGATTCAAAGTGGAAATTAACTCAGAGTGGGAATTCAGAGTGAGAATTCACTGTTGTTATTTTCTCACCATTTATGGAAGGACCTAATGCCATTAATGCAACTAAGTATTTCAAGAAATGCTAATTCTGGAAAAGAGACAGATTTTGGTGTTACATATAGGCACAAGCCTCTAGAAGTTATGTTGTAATTCCCAAGATAGACAATTTCTTTAAAGAAAATGATGATATCGGGAACCCATGAAGAGAAACTCAACACTAATGACAAGTCTACCACAAACAGCTGTGGAGAAGCCACTCCAAGATCTTGCTCTTTCTGTCTCCCAAAAAGGATGAGGAATTTTCCTTCAAATTTTTGAGATGAGAAGAAAATATTTTCCATCTTTCCTTTTATTTATTCCCCTACAACACGAGTCTGTCCTACGCAGAGTGAGATAATCAAAAGACCACATTTAGACTGACTACTATGGACAGGCAAGGTGGACTTAGGTCCCACAATCTGACAGAGCAATGAAGAATTCATATCATCTACTGACAGCTGTTCAGTGTTGCTAGGTTTTGGGTCCTGTTGTCTACCTACTAGAGAGCTGTACCTTACTCTATGAACACCATAAGCTCTCTTAAAATTAGACATCACAGTGAATATAGATGATAGAGCTGTGTTAAATGCCATTGTAGGGAGTCTAATTCCATAGATCCACAGTGAAGTTACAGGACACATTTATTTACCTTGCTTCATGTCTGTTTTACTTCCTGTGGTGGCTACACTGTTACCAGACTAATATTTTAAAGCTAGTTTAATTTACACTGCTGTTCTTTTCACTGCCTCCAATATGAACATACCTACAGTAAAAATATTCTCAGCAGAGTTAGATCTTTTACTGGCCACTGTAGTCTTCCCACTATGGGTTAATATAGCTAGAACAGAGAGCAGAAAACCTGTATTGTGTAATAAATTCAGGCTTATGCTATTGGCTTAGAGAAACTATTACTATGCTAGTAGGTCTAAGGGCAAGTTTCTCCAGGATACGTTTGATAACATAGCTACTTAAGAGAATCTCTAGAAGTAAATGCAACAAAATCAGCAAATTCAGCATACAAACAAAACAGTTATTATGTTTCATCTGTTGTCCCTCCTATCCCAAATAAAGAGAAGAAAAGAAACCAGTGTTGTGCTCATATACCAGGGGATGCTGTAATATTTGTTCTGTTGCAGGTGATATCCTGCAGAAAGTGAAAATTTTCCATTGAGCAAAACTACGAACCACCTGTGCTCTGGGAAAGGAATTTGGGAGGGAGCTAAAAGATATAAGAGTATTTGCTTAATTAACAAACCGTGGAAAACTAACAGCTATACCCTTGAAGAAGAGCTACTGGACTGATAAAAGGGAACATCTTGGCACCAAACTGGATGGTGGCCAGAAAAACATGAAGTCTGATAAAAGTCATCAGGTCCCTTGATTTCCTGGCTGTGCTCCTGTTGATACAGGACTTATGTGTGTTCAGGTTCCTCAGGTGGTCGCGAATCTGATCTTCTCTTACAGTGGGAAGGACTTTGCTCCCCCAGTCCCTGCCTTGAGGTCCATCCACTCAAAAGGTGTGGGAAGAGAGATTGCCATTGAAGACTGAGGCAAAAAAGTTGTTGAGTACCTCAGCCTTCTCCTCGTCCATTGTTACCAGTTTGCCAGTCATGTTCATCAGGGGGGTACACTTTCTTTGACCTTCCTTTTCTGGCTGACATACCTATAGAAGCCCTTCTTTGCATCCCTTGCCAAGTTCAGCTCCAGCTGCGCCTTGGCCTTCCTGACCCCATCCCTACATAACCAGGCAAGGGACAGTTATGTAGCCAAATACTACAGTCAGATCCCCTCTTAGACCTCTTTTCTCCATGCTAAATGAGCCCAGTTCCTTTAGCTTCTTCTTATATGCCATGTATTCCAGCCCTCTAACCACCTTAGTGGTCCTTTACTGGATTTGCATTAATTTGTTCATCTCTTCTACCAGGTGGCTCCACAACAGGACACATGTGGCCTCACTAGTGTTGAGAAAGGAAAATAATCACTTCCCTCTACTTACTGGCCACACTTGCTAATGCAGCTCAGAATGCAGTTAGCCTTCATTGCTGCAAGGCACTGCTCACCGACCCATGTTCAAGTTGTTTCCTACTAGGAGCCCTAGATCCTCTTCTGCAGAGCTATTTTTCTACCAAGCAGGTCAGTGCCTAGCCTGTGATTTGAGTCATTCTGTCCCATGTGAAGGACTTGTATTTTTCATCATTGATAAATTTCATGGAAGGCATTTGTTGGTGAATATCAAAAAAAGTTGTTGCAGAAGATCAGTGCAAAAAACAGACAATGAAATTAAGTAGCAAAGATCTGGCAAGCCAGTACTTTTTTAAACTACAGGGGAAAAAATTTCAGTCTGGTATTCTTAGCAGAGTTTATAAGCACTTCACATCAATTAGCCTCTGGGGAGCACTTCCTCCCATGTAAGAGGAAAGACTGTGTAGATTAGAACTATGTTAGATTACATTTAGTAGGTTTTATGATGGAGCAGATGTAGAAAGCATTGCATCAAACCAGCTAACATGGAAATTGGCAATCAATGCAGAAGTAGTAGGCACATGCCTGTTGTCCCAAATGAAAACTACTTTAGCCCAAAAGACCTAGTTGATGCCTCTGATACTCCTCTTCCTACAAACATTATACAAAATGTGATTATTATATTCTGATATCAGAGAAAACTATTGCATCAAGGCATTATTTGACACTAAACATGGGATTTCAGAAAATCCTTTGATTTCCGAAGCAAGCTGTTTGTTGCTCTTCATATTCACAATACCTGTGTTATCAGCCCAGTGATTTACCATGATACTTGAGTTTTTTAGATAGAAGAAACTGTCTGTATGGCTAATCAACTAAGAATATCTTTTACATATAAAGATTATTTCTGTTTTTGTTACTGTACTATCTGTGAGCCCTTATCAAGGACTTGGATACCATTGTGTTAAGCAATGTGTTAAGTAACACAGAACAAAAAAGGCTATTCATGCTCAAGAGATCATTCAGTCTAAACTTTATATGGGGGATGATATATGGATTCAAAACAGACCAGGGAGAATATGATGAAGCAATGAGGAACCATTGGCCTCTGGAAAGGATGGTAGTCATAGCATATGAGTGGTTAACCAGTTGTCCAGTTTTGTTGGCATGAATGCAAAAAAAGGTTTAAAGAAGATAATCACTTAATCCTGGGACCTTTATATGAATTTTTTTCTAGTGCTGAGGGGATAAAGTACAAAAAAGGGATGGAGGTATCTGTCTGAAAAAGTGTGCCAACTGGGGCCTCAAAGACTGGCATCATGGGGCAGTCAGAAGCAGGAGTCAGCCTGTACCCACTGCTAGCAATGGTGACAGCAGTGCAGCCGTCAAGAGTCTTGCACATGAAGGTGAGCACTTACAGGTCCCATGGGGGAACCAGTGAGGAGATGGTCAGCAGTGGCATGGCATTCTGAACAGATATAGCTGGGAAAGGCTAGCTTTGCCTAGCTTAGGGAAAAGAATGTTTCATTATTTCAGATGCAGAGATGCTGAGGAAAGAAAAGGCTGTAATTTAAATTTTATAGAAAAAAAAATCTATAAAACTTAAGAACAGTCTGCATGCGAAGACATAGAAACGAAGTTATGTAGAAAGGTACACCCAAATCAGAGCCCAGAGAATTAACCAAAAATCAGTCCAGTTCTGAGCTGCATGTAAAACCAAAGGGATAAGATGCAGGCAGGCAAAGAGCTAAAACAACGTCTTTAGGCCTGAGCCTACAACCTGTCTCATGAAGGTACAGTTCTGCCTCATCAGTGCCAGAGCCCAAGAGGTCAGCATGGATCCACGTACGTGCTGACTGAAAAAGAAAATTATCTAAAAAGAAAATTATAATCTTCATTAAATTAATGAATTTAATAATAGCTGTTAATGCACTTTGTGGCTTTCTAATTTATATTCAATACAAACATATTTTTATATAAGCATTAGTGTTGGCAAATTCATATTTAGGCATATTATAAGCAACACTTGTAACAGCACAAAGACAGAGCAAAGACTTTACTCACCGAGCCATCCCGATCCAGAATTGGGTATACACATATCTGTTTCAGCACTGGGCAACACAAATCCAACTACAAAAACTTCAACCCCATCAGCCATTAGAGCCATTCCCAACACAAAGAAGAGGGCCCACTGGAAACGACCATGGCCACATTCTTGTATTATCAGTTCATACTGCTGTGCTAGCTCTTCTTCATCAGCTTTCCTCTTTGTTTCCAGTTCATGACGATCCTTATATTCATCACGCATAGGCTGCTCGAGGGCCACCATGCCAATCTTGCCCTGCCCCATGTTAGGGATTCCCTGATACTCCCCTTCATAAATTTCATCATCTTCGTCATGTCCTTCAGTTGCTTCACTTGATTCTTCATCATCATTAGCTTCTACACCATAATTTCCTCCTTGGATGTAGTAATCGTCGTCATCTTCCTCATCCTGGAATCGGTTGTAGGATCTCTGTGTGTAGCCATCCTGAGCTTTGTCAACAGCTTTATTCACTTTTTTCACCGCTTGCCTCTTCACCTCTTTGGCAATATCTTTTGCCCCTTTCACTAATGAAGTCCTATCTTTGTATGTTTCCTCCATTTTGTATCAAAGAAAGATTGCTGTTCTGCTGCAGAGGGACCTGCCGAATACCGTTTTCAATACCTATTGCGTGTTGGACATCAATAGAAAAAGCCCAAGAACATGTGAAGCTGTAATATGCGACCTGCAAAATATGAGAGAAAAAAGTTTATACTTTGCTCCTTCTTATTTGCTTCTTCATACTGATACAATACCATACCAATCTTCATTTAAGCACTGGACACCATAATTCAGGACTTCAAATATACAAACATGGATTTTCTTCAGAGATGCAAATATCCCAGGTTACAAGGAAAATACTCTAAAGAGAAATCTAATATCTCTACATATTTTCAGAATGAAATTTATTACACTCTAGTCTTTCAATGGATACTGGGTTTTATTCTGAAAGAAAACAAGCAATTCCATGCACCATACATCGTATTGACTGTCTCCAGTGTCATTCCCCATTTGAAATCCCTGCTATGTAATAAAAGGCTACAAATATTAGCTTTTCTCTCAATGAGTTACTATTAAATCTCTGTCCCCTGTCCAGCCTCCCACATACATAAATCTTGTAGGTAGTTAATATCCCTGAGATATGTACCAGCCTTTCAAAGCTAACTCAGCTTGGCCAATGAATTCACAGTGCATTCACACTGAGTCTTAGCAATGTGTACTCCCACTCTAAAAAAAAAAAAAATATCAGCGCAGGGAGGTGGGTGGATTGAAGTGGTGGCACTTTCACACTCTGGAGATTTCCAATACCTAAATCATGGACGGACACATCACTCTCTCCCCTGTCCATAGTGACAGTAGAGGAAGCCTGGAGCAATTGTATATCTTTAGCTAATACATCCAGCATGAGCTCACACCAATCTAACTGCATGAAAGCACCAAGACATTTCATCCCAGTCCCCCTTCCTGCTCCCCTGCTGTACCTTTTCATCTCTTCCTTTATGTAACCCCAGGATCACAAATGCTGACACAACAAGTCAAGAGCATCTTGCTTATTTGACTGAACACTAACTATTCCCTTTTTTTCTGGACAGTTTTCAGGCATATCAGCAAGGCAACTTGGCTCATCACACATCTGCACAATCACTAGGGGTAGCAGAAAGAAATGGCAGCAGCATATAAGCAGAAGGAGGGAAGAAATGCAGGATCCTTCTTTGGCAACAGTCCATAGTTAGAACAGCTGAAATCAATTACAAAACTGCAACATTACTCATGTGTCTAAAGTTAAGCGGGGGTGAGTCTGGTCACTGCAACAGGATTGCAGAAGTCTCACCTCTGGGAAAAAGCAGGCTAAAATTTCTGTAACAGTGCTTCCAAGAAAACACCACCTGCTTCCAGCTTGGGGAAAAGGTTATTTTTTAACCATGACCATTTTAATGATCTATTTTCCAACATAACCTCAGAAAAAGCTGCAGTAGCACAGCTACTGCAGTGAGATGTAATGCAGGAGTAAGAATAAATGGCTTGAAATTTCTGAAGCAAATCCTATTCCCCTTGCTAAAGTATTGTGAACTGTCCCCCGAGCTCCATGGGAGAAGACCAGGGTAGTGCTTTGAGAAGCTGCCCTTTACTCATTCAGTTGTAAATACTGTCCCCAGAAGCATATTCCAGACATCAGTTTTAAGACTGATACCGTTTTGAGGGATAGAAAGAATTACAGACTGCATCAGATAAACTAAGGATATGGTGTACTTCTGATAAAAGAAAACCAACCCTAAAAAAAAAAAAAAAAAATCACACAAACATGCAGGTAATATGACTTAAGAAGCAAAAAGATATTTCCCTAGCTCTTTTTTTATAATGACTATAGAAATTCACCTATAGTGATTAATGTCTTTATTTTTAGTCCCTTCCTCTAGATTAATTTCATACACTCTGAATGTTTCTCAAAAAATCAGATGTGATAGCATGCTTCAACTATTCAATGCAAACTGAAGCATTTACTGGAAGAGAAATGCAGCCTTAAAAAAGCTGGGATGCATATTTATGACTGAAAACTGTAGCCTGATTTTAAGTACATGATGATCCTTCTAAGTAGGTCGTCTTGGTGAACCTTTTATGCTAAGGCAGTTTCTCTAATTACAGCTTTTCAGTTTTCAAGGTGCTCCTTAGAAGTTATTGTTTGTGTACTGAATTAAGCATCTGATCCTTACTGTTACCTGTGTGTGGACTACAGTATCTACTAGCTGTTATTGAACATACAATGCATAAAAAAATTCACTGGGTCTGCTGTAGCCTTCTACAAATACTTTCAAGAACTTCATGAACTCCTAACAGGTACTCTTGTGAGGCTTAATGATTACAAAGTGTTCCTAGATTTTGACCATTTTAGATTATTTTAGGGTGTGCATGCACCCTATTTAACCTAAACTCTGAATTGCTCTGATTCTTAGATTACTGTTTTTTTCAGTGATTACAGCCTTCTTTTAAGGATTTTTAGTTGTATTGATATTGTCAAATTCAATTTTATTGTAGGGTATGTCTATGGAGGGAAGACAGCAGTTTAGGAATACTGAATGAAAGTAAAGTCTAAATGCCAACACTGGCAAAACCGTGCTTTGCACTCCTACAGTACACTTATCTCATGAATTCAGCAGACTCTAAAAAGCGACTGAGCTTATACTGTAGTGTAACTGTAGTTTATGATAGATCAAGTATGTCGATAAGGAATTATACCTGTTCAAATTCATTAACAGCATAACTCTACCAGCAAAAAAACTGCACATAAACCAAGTCAGATTTCTATCTGGGCAGAGAGAAAGATGTACTGAGTATGAAATGAGAAATTTATCTTTAGTTTCCAAGCAGCATACCTGGTTTGAACACTATTCTTTTAAAGAGCTTTGCTTTCTCAATGAACTGAAATCCCTGCCTTAAGGGTGATAAGTACAAAAAGGAATTATTTACAGCTCATGCATGATAGCTCCCCACCCTTTTAATTATGTTGGACTGATCAACTACAAGTAAGCAACTGGAAAGTCTGAAAGAGTGAGGATTAATGACTACCTGAGTAGCATAAAGCAGCTAAAGCACAGTCTAGCCATATACTCGTTTGTGGCATCTGTCTTACCCAACAAGCCTGCTTACTTTCACTAAACTAAACACCACATTCCTATTCAATTCCTTTAATTAAAAAAAAAAAAAAATAATATTTTCCCAGGAAAATAGTGATTTCACCTGACATAAAAACACTATTTCAAGTAATACCTACAAATAATTTTTCCAGAACACTCAAAGATGCATGCACAACAAAAAAAAATTATTTGGTTGCTTTAATGTATATTCTTTTCCATTCCATTATATTTACAAATTTCTGTATAGTTACCACTTGGTACACATTGTGCTACATCTAAAATAAAGGTTGGACATTACAAACTAAATCAATGAGGTCCCATGAAAATGTAAATTTATGAGATGTCAGAAATCCCATTCCCACAAAGGCTTACATCTTTGCTTAACATAAGCTGTGAGAAGACTCACTGAAGACTATGGGTTACTAACAACACATGATATTAACTATATGCATATCTTCAGATAATAAATTTTTCAGAATAGAACTGGAAGTCACACTCAAATAGAGCTATGGCATTTATGACACACTTAGGGACCTAGTATAGCATCTGCTTTTTTTTGAATTTGTATTCAAATTTTACTGAAGTTCTCCAACAATTTTTACATGGGACACTTCAAATAACACAAAGGATACAATCCTACAAGTCACCACAGACCTGAGCCATATACAGAGGTACAACTCATCCTTGAATTTACTGGGATACCTATGGACTTCCTCCCCATCTCTCCATGCACAAAACTGTCCTAGAAGAGCTGTTCTTTTATTGTCCTGGGATAGTACTTGCTTCAGTATGCCCTGATAAAGAATAGATACCTTCATTTCAACACATAAATAAGAGCTGGCACCAAAGCTGATGAGGGTGGGATTCTTTTCAGCCAACATTAGTTGATTAAAAGATAGGCATCTATAGTCTAAGCAAATTTTCTCAGCCTCTTCTAGTCAGAGAGACACACACCCAGGCTGCAACTCTTCTATCTCAGGCTGCAGTTGCCAAAGCAGTGTAAATCACTGTAAGGCTGCAGTGCCACCAACAGTGGCAGTCCCCAACCCTCTTCCAGTTGTGACAGGATTCTCACCACTTGTCCTGTACTAGCGCTTTTCACTATTCATCCTCAGAGCATCTACAAAACACATACACAAAATGAGCCTGGGAATTCATTAGTCTAGTGCATATCAAAGATCATGAGCTCAGCAGAGACGGAGTACACTGCAATCTCTCCCTTCCCATTTTATTCCTTTCATTCCTCATTAAAGCAGCAGAGATAACAGTTTCTCTCTCTGCACTATATGCTCTATCTGCCCAGCTTCTCTTAAACTATTTAACTAATTCACCTAATTAGAATAAAACCAGAGGAATGGCTTTTAACCTGTTTTTGCTTGAAATTTGACAGCCTTTATCAGCCAAAAAAGGAACATTTTTGCCTGAAAGATTGCCCATTTTTTCTGTGTACATCAACCATTAACAAAAAACACTAACTGCCTCTTGGGCCTTAAAATATCACAAAAAGCAAAATTACTAATTCTTTTTTCACAGTGCTTTTGATCACAGGCCTAATTCTTCCTCACTTACAGATGGATATATAAGCACAGAAACAGGATCTGCAAAAGCTCTGCTTAAAACAGTACAAATCCCATTACTGGCGCAATGAACTCAGACTGAATGCATATGTGAGACCAAAAAATGAAAAAGTCTACCCAATGAAAATCAGGAAACCTTAACTTAAACTGAATCATCTGTGATAAAAATTCAATAATGTAAAAATGAATTCTCCTTTAACCAAGGGAGCTGGTGTAGAAAATGATAGGTACATGCTCCACTGCAAAGTCAGGAGGAGGGCCATTCTTCACTTTATACTTGCACTATATTACTCCTCCCTGTATTATTTCTATGCTCTGAATATCTTTCAAAGAATATCCTGAAGAAGGGTGC